CGTGTGCGTGTGCGTGTGCGTGTGCGTCGTGCGTGCGCGTGCGCGCGCGTGCGTGCGTGCGTGCGTGCGTGCGTGCGTGCGTGCGTGCGTGCGTGCGTGCGTGCGTGCGTGCGTGCGTGCGTGCGTGCGTCCGTGTGTGTGTGTGTGTGTGATTAAGATGCGGCTGGCGTTGTTCTAAATATCTCAATGTGGGATAAATTTGGTGATAATATGAACTGATTCGGAGGAGTAGATTTTGAGAGATCTCAGAAATAAAAATTTTGAAAAATTGTTTTTTTTGGAATAACTTTTAAACGGCTTTACCGATCGATTTCAAAAACTAATCAGCTTTTAACCTCAAAAACCGACGTCGAATGCCGTAAGAAAATAAAATTCGGATTGTTTGTTCGTGAGATATCGAAGGAGAAAGAATTTGAAATAAAACGTTTTTTTAACATAAATTCGAGATTTCGCAACATAATTTGGTGAAATTTGGAGCGCTTTGCATTTGAAATAAGTTCCAGGGATGGCCTGCAGGGTCAACCAATTTTTTACTCTGATATTAAATGTCGCCATAATTTAATACCTGTTGTGTAATATTTTCTTTGCACACTAAATAACAGCAACAATACAGCTGTTATACAGGCTCTTTTATTAAATTTTAAGACAAGCAAGTACATATAGAAGTATTTTTAACAATAGCTAATTAAAAATATATTTAAAATTACGTATATGAGTATGAAATTATGCATATTACATTTATATTATGATATGTTTATGTAGGTAGTCGTCAATCACGAGAATTATCGTCAACCTCCGTGTAGTGGCGGTTAAGAATATCCACTACCCCATATCTTCCCGTGGGTGTCGTAAGAGGCGACAGAGGGAGACAGGCAGGAGATGGGCAGCAGCGTCTTCCTGATGACAACTGTGCCGTAATAAAAAACTGCGGTTGCCAACCCGCTCGCCAAGCGTGGCAACTATGGCAAATACCCCCCAATGAATAAATACACAAACAGACGGCCCCCAGTCCCCGGCGGCCCCGCTATTCCTGGCTACGGTGGCGACCATGGTAACGGCGGGGCAGGGGGTGCTAAGAATCTCCGGTGGAGGTTCGGTTGCCACCTACGACGACTCGACCTGGCAACATATAACGCACGCACCCTGAGGACTGACGAGAAGATACTGGAGCTGGAAGAAGAGGTAGACAAGTTGCGCTGGCATATTATTGGATTATCCGAGGTCCGAAGAGAGGGGGAGGACACGGCAATCCTCGAGTCCGGCAACTTGTTCTATCACCGGGAGGGCGACCATCTGTCCCAAGGAGGTGTCGGATTTATCGTCCACAAATCTCTCGTCAACAACGTTGTAAAGATTGGGAGTGTGTCGACGAGGGTCGCGTACCTGATACTCAGAATCACCAAACGGTATTCGCTGAAGGTCATTCAGGTTTACGCACCAACCTCGGCACATCCCGATGAGGAGGTGGAGGAAATGTATGAGGATATTTCCAGAGCCATACATTCCTCCAAAACCTACTACACGGTGTTGATGGGAGACTTCAACGCAAAACTGGGCACAAGAGAAAGCGGTGAGCTGAAGGTAGGGAAATTTGGAGTAGGGCAACGGAACCGAAGGGGCCAGCAGCTGGCCGACTTTATGGAGAAAGAGGAACTCTTTATGATGAACTCTTTCTTCCAGAAGCGGCCCCACAGGAAGTGGACCTGGTCGAGCCCCGACGGTTCGACAAAAAATGAGATTGACTTCATTATGACGACCAGACGCCAACTGTTCAGTGATGTCTCAGTGATCGCAAGGGTGAAAACTGGCAGCGATCACCGAATGGTTAGAGGCACACTGAACCTAAACGTTAAGTTGGAGAGGTCTCGTCTAATGAAGTCAACGCTCCGTCCCCCTCGTGCTCTAATCCAGAATCCCGAAACCTTTCAGCTCGAGTTACGTAACCGCTTCCAGTGCCTAGAAGATTGCAATGCAGTGGACGATATGAACGACAAGCTCGTGGAAACTGTCCATGCGGTCGGGAGCTAAGTTCTGCAAGACCCGCCGCAGAAGAACACAAAAACTCTCCGATCACACTCTTAATCTCATGGCTGTTAGACGGGAGATGAGGCTGCAATCGTCAACAGATTTGACAGCATACAGGCAACTGAACAGACAGATCTCCAAATGCATACGGCGAGACTTACGCAACTTTAATACTTCTCGTATTAAAGAAGCGATCGAGCGGAACCAGGGCTCCAAAGTCTTTGCCAGAGATCTGTCTGCCAGAAAGAGCCAACTGTCAAGGCTGAAGACTGAGTGTGGCAACATCGTTTCCGGGACACCTGAGATTTTGAGTGAGATTGAGAGGTTCTATGGGCAGCTGTACACATCATCGTTGGAGCCACACGCAAGTGTGAGTAACGATCCAAGAGCAAGTCTTATCCGACACTATTCCGATGATATCCCGGACGTCAGTCTAAGCGAGATTAGAATGGCTCTCCAGCACCTTAAAAACGGCAGGGCCCCAGGCGAGGATGGAATTACAGCGGAGCTTCTGAAAGCGGGTGGAACACCGGTACTTGAAGTCCTTCAGAAGCTCTTCAATTCCGTCCTCCATGGTGGCACTACTCCAGAGGCGTAGAGCAGAAGTGCGGTGGTCTTGTTCTTTAAGAAAGGCGACAACGCTCTCTTAAAGAACTACAGACCGATTTCCCTTCTGAGCCGCGTTACTCCAAAAATCTCTCACGCAGACTTGACACTTCCACCTCCCGAACAAGCCGGTTTCCGAAAAGGCTTCAGTACCATAGACCACATACATACCCTGCGGCAGATTGTACAGAAGACTGAAGAGTACAATCTGCCACTTTGCCTGGCGTATGTGGACTATGAGAAAGCCTTTGATTCCGTCGAAATTTGGGCGGTGCTACAGTCCCTTCAGCGGTGCCAAGTTGACTGTCGGTATATCGAAGTGCTGAAGTGTTTGTACAGTAGGGCTACGATGGCTATCCGAGTACAGAACCAGAGCTCGAAACCTATCCAACTGCAGAGAGGTGTAAGACAGGGTGACGTTATATCCCCGAAACTCTTCACCGCTGCATTGGAAGACGTTTTCAAGCTACTGGACTGGAAAGGATACGGTATTGACATCAATGGCGAGTACATCACTCACCTTCGATTTGCCGACGATATAGTCCTTATGGCAGAATCGCTGGAGGACTTAAGCACTATGCTCAATGACCTCAATAGTGCCTCCCAACGGATAGGTCTTAAGATGAACATGGACAAAACAAAGATCATGTTCAATGTCCATGTCACACCTATGCCGGTAGTTGTTGGGAGCACTATGCTCGAAGTTGTTGACGAATACGTTTACCTGGGACAAATAGTCCGACTAGGTAAGTCCAACTTCGACCGAGAGGTCAATCGACGGATTCAACTCGGCTGGGCAGCGTTCGGGAAATTACGGCATATCTTTTCGTCAGGTATACCTCAATCTCTAAAAACTAGATTGTACAACCAGTGCGTGTTGCCAGTGATGACTTACGGATCTGAGACGTGGTCCTTCACTGCTGGCCGTATGAGGACGCTTAAGGTCGCTCAGCGAGCTATGGAGAGGGCTATGCTCGGAGTTTCTCTGCGTGATAGACTCAGAAATGAGGATATCCGCAGTAAAACCAGAGTGACCGACATAGCCCAACGGATTAGTAAGCTGAAGTGGCAATGGGCCGGCCATATAGCTCGAAGAACCGATAACCGATGGGGAAGAAAGGTTCTCGAGTGGCAGCCTCGTACCGGTAGGCGTAGTGTAGGGCGACCCCCCACTAGATGGAGTGACGACCTGGTAAGACATGCAGGAAGTCGATGGATGCAGGTGGCTCAGGACCGTGCTTTGTGGCATTACTTGGGGGAGGCCTATGTTCAGCAGTGGACTTGTGAAGGGCTGTAATGATGATGATGATGTACGTCAACCTCAGATTATTAGCAATAGTACTCCAGATCGAATTTCGGCCACGGCGGCCTGCCTCAACGGAGGCTAGCCAACGACGCAGGACAGGATTATAGTGCCCAAGTGTATGCGCAAGCACAGGTGCACTCTCTATTCCTTCACTCTGATAATCCGATGGGACAATAAACCGACACGACCGGAGAGAGATCAGGCGCAGGACCAACAGCTTTACTTGCTTTCCGAGGCACGGGGGCGAGACACCGCAATCTTCCTGACTTCGGGCAGCTACTGAGAATTTCTTGACAGATAAACTCAATAATTGATTTTTTGGCCCGACCCGGAATTTTAACCCTGGACCTCATGATCAGCAGTCGCACTTTTACAACGGCTAGACCAACGAGGCATTTATATTCAGATTATTACTTTATAGCTTCTAAGGTCTAGGTAAATCTTTCGGTCCTTTTTTATTGTTTATACATAATATTTGTTTAGTAGATAACAATACAATACAATACAATACTCTTTATTGCACACACAATAATAAAAAGAACAACAAACTTAAATTGATAAATTTATGTACAATTAGGTGGCCTTATCGCTAAACAGCGATCTCTTCCAGGCAAACCTTGGTGAAGGAGATCTTTTACATACAAAAATATAGATAGATAACTTAAAATTACGGAAGAAAAAGAATTCCAAAGGCCTTAAATCCACCCTTTATATCCCTTATTACAAGGTAAATAGAATTATTAAAATGCCTACTATCATATTATACTTCCACACGCCACATATATGTGTATGATATTAGGTGTATTTCATTATAGGACAGTTAGTCCTAGCTGTAACCTGACAACCACGTAGTGTATGTATACCTTCATGGCTCTACGCTTATCAACCCTCTTGCTCTGCTTGGTGTGGGCAACACTTAGAAATTCAAGGCTGATGAAATGAAATGAAACTTTTGTTAAATTCAAAATCAGAATTTAATTTTCTTCCATTGGTTAGTTTAGAAAGAGGTTGCTCATTAAGATATAATAAAAATTATAGTTATATTTTTAATTTACGACCACAGGTGGTAAGCTTCGCGTTGTCCTGGATATGTTATTTGACCGCGAGATACAGTTCACGAACGATCAACTCCGGGAGCACCTTGATTCCATTACCATTGCCGGAAACGACACCACGGCGCTCGTCATTGCATATACTTTAGTCCTGCTTGGTATGCACCAGAACGTGCAGAATAAAGTATTTAAAGAGTAAGTTTGATTTCGACGTTAAGTAAACGCCTCATACTAGTGTTTCTTATGATTTTAACAAATCAACTTTACTGCGGAAATTAAAATTCGAGTAATAGTCATTGGATAATGATTTTATCTAAATGACCTATCGTTACCTTTCTACAATCATATCATTATAAACCAGTGATTTTGTGATGGGATCGGTATAACATCTCGTATATGACATTTGTGCGAACAATTTGCGTCAAAGGTACGAGACATCTGGTACTGACCCGCCTGCTAAGCGTCTCGATTGTAACAAAGTCTTTCTACAGCAGGAGAGTCTCATGTCCAGCCGAGGAATGTTAGGGCTGATAAAATGACGAAGGATTTTTTATTTAGAAAGGAATGACAAACGAGCTACAGTCCACCTGATGGTAAGTGGTTGCTGCGGCCCATAGACATCTACATCTATACTCGATTACGAATCAAAATGCAGATATGCTGTCACACCTAAGGACTAAGATGGAGTGCCTAGTTTCCAGTTAAAAGGGGTGTATAGTAGTACCTATTTGCAGCTGCTATTTTACGCTGTTATTCAGTAAATAAAGTAAAGTGTCGTCGTTCCCCGGTCAAGCCGACTAATTCGTGTTATAACCCTAATATAAGTTGGTAGGACATGATCTTCACGAGTGGTAGGGAGAATTTGCCTAAATCGTCAGCTTGACAGACAGACGGATTGAGATTCACTGTGCCATACATAAAAATGAAGTCTACTGTAATGAACGCCACACTTGGAAGTTTCGCAAACTTAACGCTGATTCCCATCGCCGGTCAGGTTCCATTACGCCTGGTGTACAAAGATTAACACAGTCATATATAAAGAGAGCTAAGAGACTTTTCTGACATTTGAAATATTCGCCTTTTACGGCACTTTCGGAGCTAAATGTGACATAAGGCATGACTCAGATGACATAATCAACAGATTATAGAAAAAAGTTAAGTTTATCAAACCAAAACAAAGTATTTATTTAACCACTAATCCACACAAAAAAAAATGTAGTATAATTTTTTATGACGCATTAAATAAAAACGTGATTGTAGTTGCACTTTTAGACTGCGCTTAGTTTCAAATCGCATCAACAGATGTCGCGGCGTAAAGGTAAATCGCGATGTCGAAAGACCACTGAAAGAATTGTATCAATGAACTATTAGAGTAGTCTAAATATTCTTCATACACTTCTAAATAAGAAATTCAATTTTTAACACATGGTCCTACAACTAGGTCCGTGTCATATTAAAGGTAGGGATGATCGATGTTGCAGAAACATCGATAATGACATCGATGTTGATATCGATAGCTTAACATCGATGTTCGATGTTTATCCTACTCAAAACATCGATGTTGGCCATTATCGATGTTATTGCACATGTACCTAATTAGTAGGTTAAAATTAGATGAACAAAAAATTAATAGTGTAGTTTATAGTTTATTATTAATGAAATGAAAAAAATTTATAAAACATTTAGTGCTAAATAGTAATTTAAAAAATGGACAAAACTTAACGAATGTTTAGTTCATTTGTTATATTTTTTGCCGATAATAATTAATGTTATTATTTTGATCTTTAAATGTTCCTATACAACCAAAAATCTACGAAAAAATTTACTATGAGACCTAAATTACGATTTAGACGTAGGTTCTATATTAACCACTCCTATCGCGAAATAAAAAAATATGATTATAGAGGGTTAATTAGCAAACCTCACCAAAACAAAATAATAGACTTTTCCGTCACCTTTGTTCACTATTTTTCATCAGACAGCCCAATTTATAAAATGCACTGTAAAATGCACTATGCGGTGAAATTGTCTATGCTTACAATTGCTCAGTGATTTATTTTCATAAACTTCAAGCAAACAATAAACTCATTATCCCAAGATAAAAAAAACAGCTAAATATAATTGGATTGTTGTAGATACATATTGTTTCAAAATTATGTGTGTATAGACAGCAAGAGAAAAAACATTATTTGTATATCAATTTATGTAGAGTTATTAGGCGACAATCGACAATGACACCACAGAATAACAAAGCGTAAGCAGTGACAACTGTGATATTACGGTTCACACTTGAGAGGGAGTTCGACACAACATAATGATATTTTTTAGGTGATTGAAGCCTTTAGGAATCCTAAATTATTCAAAACTTTAAACCTTTAATAGGAGATGAAATATTTAGTTGATATTGAGTTCGCGGGTTCGCATTGTTCACAAGTTCTTATTAATTATTGACATCGATGTTTGACATGTGGCATCATCGATGTTACGATGTTTAGCACGTGGCAACATCGATGTTAAAACATCGATGTTTTAATTTCTAACATCGATGATCATCGAACATCGATGATCATCGAACATCCCTAATTAAAGGTTCTAATGTTAATGTTGTATATATAACTTTCAGATTCAATTAAGCAGATCTTTTGTACTCTTTTCGTTTTACCCTTATTGAATATAAAAAATATTAGGTACCAATATTCAAAATTTAACTTACACTAAGTTCTTTAGACAAAAAATAAACAGAAATAAAAATAAAACCGTCAAAAAACGAAACGTATAGATAAACTAGACGGGTTACGCCAAAATGACGGCACATGGGAAAAAAGAAACATGAAACGTCAAACGTGATATAATTAAAAAAAATAGTAGGTACATTTTATTTTCCATATACAATATTTTTGAGGGTTTGAAACTAACCCTGGCCTAACATTGGTAAAGTAACTAAACTTATTGTAAATTAAAACTTTAAAAATGGGTTTATATAATAATTTAATTGTAACAAAATTTATATAAGGTTGTTTACCGATGATACGATATCCCATGTTTTTTAAATCTTTTTATCGTAATTTTTGCATTCTTTTACCACGCAAATAGATATATTTATGACAGGCATATCAGACCTGCGCGCGCACCACTCTCGACCCATTCGCGTTGGCCCTAAACTGTAATTTTAGGGCCAGCGCACTGGTCCATTTTATTTGTTCGGTCGGCCCGGTCCTTACGCTACTAATATATAAGTCAATGTTAAAACTACAGTGGCGAAGCTAAGGCTCCAAACTAGGGCAAGCCCAAGATATGATTTTGTTGTTTTTAGCAGTTTTATAAAAATACACCAATCTTGATCTGTCTCCACACTTTAGTTTCATATTCGGTGCTATCAAGGACGTGTTTAACAAAGCACACAGAAGACGTACTACCGCTAGATAGATTGTATGACATATGCAGTTGCATACCTTCGGTGGCTTTGAAAAGAGCCGTTTGGGTTTTCTTGAGCGAAAGAAAATAGCCTACTATGGATGGCCTACCAGAGCCAGTCAAATCTTCCATCCTTCTCGACCGCTTTTTGAACGCTTTGGCCATTCATGAACACGTGTTTTTGATAAAGTCGATTCACGGTAAGCCTTTTTGTAACCTTTTCGGTGACTCCGAACACGAAATTCCATAGGCGATGCAAAATTAAAGATAAACTTTTTTCGATATCTTTGTCCATTGTGAAATTCGCAATACACATTAGATACAACCAAAACAACACTGCATTTAATCTAAATAACAGATGTTAATAAAATTCCGCGCTAAAAGAGAAAACAGTTGTACCAATCTAACAACAATAATAAAATAAAACAATTGAGTTTGGAACCATAAACTAATCAACCACTCCGATACTTTTTTGACTGAATGTATATTTTTTGTATGTTGTACTATGTTAGTCCAAGATTTACTGAACTCTGGTTGGACGACGATCGCGGTACAAGATCTGCTTTACCTATGACGATGCCGTCAGGCGCTGTCCTGTCGGTCTAGATATTTTATATATTGGACTGGATATTAAAAAGCGATGGTTCCGCCATCTATCGGAGCCATAAGATATTTCTGGCATTTTCTATAATCGCCTGTTTCTACGCCCATGGGACTGCAAAGGTGGATTTGCGGATTTTAACATATGACATAATTTCACCATAGCTCACATCATTCGAAACCTGTGGAGATAATATACAGATATTCATTTTTTTTCATAGACGAGAGGATGCGATAAATTATTCACGACGGAAACGTATATTTCTGCAGCAACATAATGTTTGTTTAGGGTCGTGATTAAAAGCCGACATTGGATATGAAGACTACTTGACGTTAGTATATAATTAACTTATAGTAATAAATTGACATATTGAAACGCAAATATTGAATTTATTATGTGTAGCCCAGTAAATGGTGTTAATGGGAAATACTCTACGACGGACCTATTCGTGCTACAACCATAATGTAGCGTGGCTTTACCACTTATAGAATTTGCCTATAACAGAAGCCATTCAAATAATTTTATAATAGGTAGGCAAGACACAATAGACCCAAGCGTAGATTAAATTAGTCGAGGCTTCTCGTCATTAACGTGTTGAATTGTCAATTCAGATAAAACAATAGAATATGATCGTGTTGTCCAGGGTATTATATTAATACAGACGACAGGGTTGCCAGAAGTATTTTCCCGGATGTTTTTTGTGTGTATATGGTGTGTATACTCAAAGAAAAAAGATGATGTTTATTTATTGCAGTAATTTGATTCTACAAGACATTAATTTAGAAACAAAATAAGAACGTGTGTAGTTCATAAGCGTCTGAAGTGAAATCAAATGAAATAAAATATAAACAAAAACATTTCACAGTAGATGATATATTTAATTTTATAATTTTCAACCACAAGTGCAGCATAAAATAAAAGTTTAATTTTATCCTAAACACAATTAATTTAATTTAAATTGGTAAGTTTCATACCTTACCGATTTAAATTGTGGATTGTTAAAAATTGTTTGGATACGATAATTTTATTCAATATAAAATAAATATTTATTTAAAAATAGAATTTGTAATTTTTTAATTGTGTGACTATGGATCTATGGAGTTGCAGCCTAGCAGGCATTCATCATTTACTGTTTAGGTATTCATGTGCATCACATGACTTTTTTTAATTATTTTATATTTGAT